CAGAAATGTAAACACAGTTGAATTATGTCACAGATGTGGCCAAACGTATGAAGATGTGTATACTCATATAGTCTTACAGTGCAATTTTACTGAAGAAATTCGAGATCAATTATGGTGTCAAATGATCAATATCAGTGATCATGAGTTTAGCGTATATTTACATGATCACTCAGATTTTGACCTATTCCATATCTTGATTGGTGGAGAAGTAATGTATTAATTGAATTTAAAAGAAATATCACAGTTTTACCTTAAATCAGTCCATTATGTTTCAAAAATGCTTAAAGCATATTATGGCTAAAATGCATATGATACAAATTACATCTAAAGAATTATCATTAAGTACAATATATATATATATATATGAGTAATGTAATTATGATACATCTTGTATGTTACTTTGGTATTTTGTAACTATTTAATCATTATTATACTTATGTTATAATGATCACTGTATTGCAAAAATGATCTACCTCAATGTTCCGATGTGATTTTGTAACGACTTAATTACTATAATTATCCTAATGTTATAATATCTTGGTAATAATTTTGATTTGCATGCCAATTCAACGTTCTCTTTCACTAAATTAATGTTGTTCTTTTTGTGAAATCTTCTTAAAGGAGGAAATAAAGAGAATGATAATAAAATTCGGAGCATTTTATTGATTCTCAAAATTAATGACAATATTCAGACCTAGTCAATGGCATTGCTAAGTGTTGATTATAACACAATGACCTGATATTAACATGATTCAATTACACCTTTGATGCATGACATTTGACATTATCATAGCTTACATCCACCATGCCTGAACATATTTCGTAATGTACTTTGTTAACCACATTTAAATGAATTGCAATGCTTCATTTATATTTTGTTTTGACAGATCATTAAGATTGAAAGACTGCATGAATTTCAAAATGCTCCCACCATCCCGGTATCTTACACAAATGATCCAAATAGATGTGAATTTTTCGTTGTGAAGGTCTCAAACTGCAAACAGCTGATTTAACTAATTTTACAAGCACAAATAGGATTGTTTTTAAAAGTTCATGGTTATATCTGTTATGGTCTACCTGGTTCACCTTTTCTGACATGTATGTGCCAGGGACACCCAGGTAAACATTTACCTGTTACAGGCAGGTACATCCTAATTAAAACAGGCGTGATTATTTTCAGAGTTATCAACTGAATATATCAGAGAGTATTTGAATTGTAATTACAGTTACACAGAAAATTTTCACCAACAAATTATGATTACAAGTAATTTAAATAATTTTCAATTACTAATAATTCTCAGAGACTTAAGAATTTGAAATGATTACGGTTATAATTACCTCATTCCTAATCAGCTGACGGACAAACTCAACTCCAGGTAATGGAAAGATCTACGGTCGTCATAATGATTACATTTATATACATTCTACCCGGTATTCCTTTGTCCGGTATGAAGGTGGGTGTGTTCGATGCTTGTTAGGCCTAGTTTGCCTATCGGTACCATTGTTGTATACCTTGTTCTCATTTGACATTGCTGACTTAAATTGACCAAGATTAAAACGGAGAGTGTCGTCGATGAAGCAGAAGACGCTTACTCTTCCGGAACACAGTCATATTTTCATTTACTTTTCAGGAGCCTTCATATAAATCTTTCTGTTATTCGTATTTTGTCAAAGTTTTATTGAATTTGAGTTCGGATTGTTACTTTTTGTGCTCACATTGTGGTATCTTATTGTAATTTCTATTTAAATAGTTTCCTCTCCTTGTCGGTTGCTGTCGGTATTTTAAGTCTTTTGGTAACACTGTACGCCATTCTGCGCATGCCTCGAAAGCATATGGCAGGAGATTTAAACCAAATCTTGAACTAGGTGAATTCTAGTAAGTATTTCAAAGAATCTGAGGAGGAGAAAATCGTCCAAAGAAATCTTAAAGCAACCATTTTTGACTGTGAGTTGGCTCGTTTCGTTAATTCATAACAGAAATGTTGAAGATGGAACATGTTTCAGCGAAGCATACATCACTGACAGCAACACGTGATTTGAGGAGGAAGCTGGTTGTGTGGTTGAACGTCCAAAAATGTCATTTAGTTGAAATAAAGGACATGCTAGACAAAAACATTCTTTCCAGCGTTTCAGACAGGAGGTGTAAATGCCATCGAAAACTTCACCCAACCTGTTTGTCGATCTTTCTTGGTGTTGTTAAATTTTCTGCGTGGTATTATAACTAGCCGATTATATTTTACATGCAAATGCCATTACTTGAACGCAATGAAATTTGAATGAGACATTTCATTTAACTTGTTATAGAAAAAGAAAAAAAGGTATGCTAACCTTTCAAGAACAGTCGTTAATTTTGACACCTTACTGCCCGCCGCAGGATCGGTAGTCGTCTGCTCCGAGTCGGATTTGACCATGGTAGCCCGATAAATTTCATTGATACACAGGGAAAGATGGTGTCGGTCATTAATATGCAGAGAAAGATGGTGTCAGTAATTTATGCTTGGAGAAAAATTTTGTTGGTCATAAATACACAGAAAGATGGTGTCAATCATTTACACATTGAGAAAGGTGTTGTCGGTCATTAATACACAGAGAGAGATGGTTGAGTCACTAATACTGAATGATATCAATACTGAGAGAAATAATTTGTATCAATATTGTTACAGGCACAGGCCCCTGTGCTCGGTATGAACCAATATTTGTACTGGATTCTAACAAATTAATGTTGGTTGGATGCATATTTCTAGTATTTGGATATTGGGTCACACATCTCGCTCACACTGTGCTGAAATTTACCTCAGAATTGCCGTCTTTCAAATATCACTTAAGGATAGTTTTTCATTCTTCTAACAAGCCTTTGACATCAAAGTGGCCAGAGATAAGCGGGACATGTTAGATTGTTCATGATTATGATTCTGTTGACATGTTGGGATTGTCTTTGTTCTTGTATAGATCACATTTAAATACGTGACAACATAAACCCATTTTAAACAGTTTGTTTCAAACATGAGTTAGCTTCAAGCAAGGTCAATACATGACACCCAGAAACTTTATCTGCATTACTCAAGAGATATAGGGTCGTGGTATACATATTCTAAACAGCATACTGGAGTAAGTGTCTAATTATTCTGTAAAATAATTGTGAATTTAAGATTTTTAGCTACAAACGAGACCAGCTAACAATGTTATGATTTTACATAACACGAGTTACTAGTTAATGATGAAGGAACACTTTTGTTTGCAGATATATACATATACCTCTTTACAATTCCTAGTAACAAAAATACCAGCTGTTTTTTCAGTACATTTATAGTTCTTTGTTCACTCCTCTCCCCTGGCTCTTATTATTGGAATTTTGAACATTTGTCTAAGAAATGGTAACATTTATATTTAGCTGCCAAATCCAACATGGCCACCTGCTGGCCATTTTGTTTTTTGGTTTCTGATCAGTCCCAAAATCAAATGGGTACAACCAGGGAACCAATATATGAAATTTGAGAAAGGCCCATGCAATTCTTCTCAAGAAATAGTGAAAAAAGGTTCATGTCAAAATCCAAGATGGCGGTCTGTCATTTTATTTTTCTGCTCAGTCCCAAAATCAAATGGGTACAGTCATGGCCAAGAGAAATCAACAAATAAATTTGGAAAAGATCTATCCAGTGTTTTTCAAGAAATAGCAGTAACGGACTTCATTGTCGAAATCCAAGATGGCCGCCTGTTTACTATTCAGTTTTTCTGATCAGTCCCGGAATCAAGTAGGCTCAACCAGGGACCAAGGCCCTTCTACACATGACATTTGAGACAGATCATCCATTACTTCTTAAGAAATAGTGATGGCAAGAGTTGATTACAAACAGAACATGGATATATGGCTACTTGAATGGCTCACCAGCTGATGATGTTGGTTAAAAATAAATAGCAATATATAACCCTGACTAAGAGTCTGGCACAACAAGGGCCCTGGATGTCGTGTAGTGTCATGACTAAGAGTCGGACACAACAAGGGCCCTGGATGTCGTGTAGTGTCATGACTAAGAGTCGGACACAACAAGGGCTCTGGATGTCGTGTAGTGTCATGACTAAGAGTCGGACACAACAAGGGCCCTGGGTGTTGTGTAGTGTCATGAATAAAAGTCGGACACAACAAGGGCCCTGGATGTCGTGTAGTGTCATGACTAAGAGTCGGACACAACAAGGGCCTTGGATGTCGTGTAGTGTCAGTGCTCTTGTTTGATATTGAAACTGGTTTGCTAATGGATATCAACCTTACATTGTCTAATACAAACCAGGACTTACTTGTTGTATTTGTAGGCATTAATAAGTATATGTGAAAGTGGAATTTCCCAATGTGCTGATATTTCATCAGAAATATTTTTGTTAAAACTAGTTTCCAGATCTAAATTGACAAAAATGTGTCTTTTTAAACAAATTTAAACATATCCCATTTTTAAACACCTGATGTGAATTTTGTTTTCCCGACTGGTCACAGGTGCAAGCCTGTTTTGTATTTATTCCCTTGTTACTTGGGCAATATAAAACTATAACATTTGTACTTGTAATAAAAAATAGTGACATAATTACAAAAACAACCTTTATTTAATTTAAACAGAAAACAAATGAAAGTGAAAGTATTTTTTTGTATAGTACCATTTTATACAAGACAAAAAACCAAACAATCACAATTATTTACAAACATGACAATACAATACAAATATATGGAATATACCATTTAACAAAGAATGTAAATTATGTGTGGAGATTACAGGGAAAAAATGCTTCTACTTTTGCACATATTCTACACAGTTTTCATTCAAAACTGATATATATAAATGTGTGTTTACAAATTCTTTATATTGATTTTTTTTTTCAAATACGTAATTTCAAGTTTCAGTAGTTCTACCACAAGCTTGGAAAAGTATAAACTAGAAAGTTTTCCTATGATAGTCAAAAACTTAAAGTCTACACAGGATTCTAATGTAGAAACACAAAAGTTATGTAGCACATCATATATCTCTACTTATTTCATTGTTAAAGTATCTTTTAGTGGTTTTTACTCAATCTTCAGAAGTAATGAAAAAAAGAACAGCTCAAAAATAAAACCGTCAAAAGTAATAAATTAAACCATTAATATACAAACAAATGTACCCATAATCAGGTTATACAGAAAAATATCACAATATGTCTTTAATACTGAAATATATCACAAGTACCATTTTGTTCTCCTCTGAAACAACCTCTAGTATTGACTGCAAGATCATGAAACTTACAATCTTCACAGTGATTTATTTAACAACAGATATTTTCATGGCAAAATCAAAAGTTGATAATCTATAGCTTGCCGATTGGTTTTAGAATTGAAACAATTACAAAGTTGATAGGAAGAGCAGTGATACACAAGCTTTGACAGACTATATATAAGATTGTGTATTGTTAAGCCTTTCTGAGTCAAATTACCTGTAAATGTTATGTTGCTGAGAAACTACTCTTTATATCCTACAAGGTATTCAGGGTTCTTGTTTAAGAACATGGTATCATTTATCATATTATGTTTGTAAAGAGATTTTAATGTGACTCTGCCAATTCTTGAGAAAATACAATTCTGCAGAGAGAATGATATTGAGAAAAGGCTCCGATTTTCCAGCCAACTCCGCAGAATGATAAATTTTTTTGTCATTTATAATGAATTATATATGTTTCCAGTCATTTTGGTGTGAATTCAAAAGCATAATTGAACTAATTTTAACAAAATCATAAAAAGTTCAATAGGAAGTTTTGTTCGGATACACACTTCCAGAACACATTTCACAACTGTATACATTGCATGTGTAGATGTATATCAAAAATATTTGTATTAAGAAATGGATCTTTCGTTACTGATCCATTTTGTCTTAATATACATAATTTGTTTATAAAATCAAGTCAATTGAAAATAAAAATCTTGCACACATCTGAAATGCTACAATTACTCCACACACACAACTCTTTTAGCACAAGTAATAACACTGTCTCTTTCAATACACGTTTGCATGCTGCCTCTGTCAAACGCAAGTTAGCAAAGAGCTCTCAAACAAAAGCTAGCACACTGCCTTTTAAACACAAGTTAGGACCCTGCCATGCAAACACAAGTTAGCACTCTACCTCTCAAACATATTAGCATATTGTGTCTCAAACACAAGTTCGTATTCTGTGTTTCAAACACTAGTTAGCACACTGCCTCTTTCAAACACAAGTTAGCATGCTACCTCTTAAACACAAGTAAGGTTTCTCTGTCTCAAACACATTTTAGCATTTTGTGTTTCAAACACATGTTAGCATTTTGTGTCTCGAACACAAGCTAGGATGCTGCCTCTCTCAAACACAAGTTATTTTTCTTTATAATGATAAAATACTTCTACAGCTTCTGTCATTGAATTCATTTCCCTCCAGTTCATAAATATGCGATGTTGAATTTATCTAGTGGTATCATAGTCGTTAACAGACAAAAAATTCACATCTATAGGATAAGGTTTATAGTACAATTCAAAGCAGAGCAAATGTAAATATTAAGATTTGCACAGTACATTAACTCAGTACTGAAACACTTGATATCTGTTTCAGGAGTACATGTACTAGTAAATATGACTAGAACATAAATACATAATTCAAATGATGAAATTAACATAACACTTGGAGGGCCCACATACTGTGAAATAGTTAACATTCGTGGGCGATTTATTTGCATTGATTTCATAGGAATTCTAAATCCACAAATTCACATGTCCATGAAATGATATAGTTAGTGTAAGGACAATTATTGAGCTATATTTATCAACGAAATCAAATGGTTATAAAATCATGATTTTTTGGAAAACCACTAAAATTAGACTCCATAAAAATTTATAATTTAAAAAAAAAAAATATGACTCAAATTCCTAGTGAACCAGCATAAGTGTGAGGGAGTTTGTTTAATATCATACAAGCTCATTTTGTGTTGGGTCCAAATTGGTGCTCAGGAAGACCTATTCCAGCTGTTGTAGGTTAGGAAAACATTTATCACAAAACTGGCACCTAGCACGAAACCAATAAATCCTGAGGATCTCCAAAAACCTGTTTGATAAAACAAAGAAAATTATATTAATTTTAGAAACTCTAAAAATAGATTTGATTCAGAAAGTAATAGATAACCAATAAAGAAATACAGTTTGTATTGATATAAAAGGAGTGATCTAAAATAACTGAAAAAAAATTGGCAATTGCCTTCAATTTAAGTTATTATTTAACAGATCAACACATATATGTACAGTATATATATATATTTTTTTTTTGCAGTGCACTACCATCAATACTCCCAACACATGAAATAGTTACCAATGAATCCTGTGATTCAAATACCGGTAAGTATATACATGTACAGGGAACACTTTCCTATTTTGGAAGAAAAGGTAAAGGTTGACTGGATTTCAAGCACAATTCTAGATAATCAACAATTGGAAAATAATCACACTCTAAAAATACCAAATAAAACTACTCCTCTCTAGTATGTCAATAAAAACCGACCATATTTAACAATGCAGTTTGTAGCTTACTGATACTAAGACTACAATATATTAACTATAATTCATAAGTTGTTTCTGATGCCTACAATATCCAGGGGTAATCCCTTAGAGCTTACCAGTCTCATAGATTTATCATCTCTTTGATAACGATGAAAGGAAAACAGTTCCTGTTAAAATCTACCAGTTTTTATCCTGGTATAGAATCTTCATATATTTTACATAACAGATATTGGCCAAAGACTTGAATTTTTTAAGTTTAATTTGGTTCATTCATCGGCCAACAACCAATCTTGTTTTCTGCCATGACATCATTCAAGTGTGCAATCTTTACTATGAGCAGGCCTACTGCTGTTGAAAAATAGTACATGCTTGCATCCAAAAGACCTATTCTTTAACTCTTCCTAGTTCTTTCAGCGACTTCTACATAAAACCCTGTCCTCATACTTATTCCTCACCTGTGGCCTTTGCCTCTACTTTTGTGGTACTGTCCACAGGACAAAATGATGATGCTGTCGAACGACTTTCCTTGTCATGGAATTCGTCCATTTTGTTGATGACATGGTTACGCACACTCCAGCTTTTTCTTGCAGTATCGTTGCAAGAGGAGAAACGTCCAGTAACTGTTGTACCATGATCACTTAAATGTGATTTTGATGCAGATGAAACAAAATTTCCACTATAGCATGACCCTCTATCGTCAAACACACTTTGGTTATCTCCCTTGAAGGAAGTATTATCATTGAAAAATGAAGCCTTATCTGAAAATATATTTGGTGTCTGATTGTTGTGCCCCATTGAAAAATTATTAGTCCTACTATCAACCTTAAACATGGAGGTTTCTCTTTTATCCTGTAAGAAGGGATTATCTGTAAAAGAAATATTTAGAAAGAATTAAAGTCATTAACATCTTTAAAAACTGGATGTGTGTGCATATGAAGTTGGTTTACCAAGTTGTAATTCTTTTACAAATACAGAAAGAACATCCCTGTTAAATGTCTCTTCATGATCAATTTTTTGGTTCAAGTCTTAACAAAGAACTGAAATATTTTGCCTACAAAATTATTGATGACAAATATGACTTTCATAGGGGCAGGTCGTATTTCCCTCACTTTATATAAGGCTGGATGTTCTGACGATCATCGACTACAGACAAATATAGTCCATAGAACGTCAGAATAATTCAGACTAGCATTACAGTAGAACAGAAATCACAGGTAAATAAAAGATTATTATTAAAAAACCTAATTTGGACAGTACAAAATTTACATGCTTATATCTTTAGATAGAAAACCAAAAAAAAAATGGCTAAAATTACTAGAAATCAAAGACAGATGCAGCGTACATATGTCTGTATATAATAAGAAACACCATTTCTTACCTGCTCTATTTTGGGTCAACCATGCTCCAGAATTATTGACTTGCAGTTTGGCAGGGCTGATCAGTGGGCGGTTATGTTTTTCTTGTAAGGCTTGACCAAAGGAGAACCCAGTCTTGGACACTGGTTGACCAGAAGTAAAGGAAGAGCAGCCAAACACACCTGCATGTCAAGATTACTGGGTTAAAAACAGGACATATTTCAATAGTAGAAATTTTCACACTAGGTTAATGTTACAGAAATATTTGTTTCACCAGCTGACAACCTTTTTTATCTACATCCCTTGATATCACTTTACACTCCTTTCCAGGGTCTTCCTTTCAGCAGACAAAATGGTTCATTAGAACTTAAGATGGAACACAAAGCATAGATCTGGATGGACCTATGAACATTAAGACCAGCCTTGAAAGAGTTATACAAGAGTGGTCAGATAATGAAATAGAATCAATAAGTCTGTCCTTGTTTCATAAACAAACTTCTCCAGAAAACAGGCCACATTGTCTTTCCTTTCACTTTCCATTATACAGCATCTGATTTACCTCCCTTGACATCATTTCATGCCTATATCTATCACTAATTGTAATAACCATTTAATTAACAAATTCAAATTGCTCCCAATTCATTCTGACAGTGGTTCCTAAATAGCACGTAGTGACACATCTATATTGACATCAGAGGCACATGCAGCTGATAAGCTTGAGAATCAATTTAGGGAAACACACAAGCCATGGTACGTATGTAGATGTATAAAATCATTAATCTTTAATGTATGGTGATATTTCAAATAAACTGTACAGAAACAAAAATACCGAGGAATCACGACAGATTTGCATGCTGTACCTTTCCTTGCAGGTGATTTTTCACATCTTTGAAAATGAATATGTAAAGACAACAATATACCCGACGGAGATCTTTTCAAGCTGGCTGAACCGATGGAGAATGATCCTAAATCTGACAATGCATCATCCAGTCTGTCACTCTTCTGTTGGCTGACTGTGTTCTGATGGTCATATACATGTCTATAGGCTGCTTCACTCACAGACTGTAAGGGGCTGCTATCAGTCAATGTACTGTCTGACCCTCGAGATGAACGGCTATTGTCCAATGATAATCTGCATGAAATAAGATTTGTCATCAACTTTGCCATACAATTTCAGAGGTCCAACATCACCTAACTACAAAGACCTAAACCCCTTTCTGTATATTGCAATATCAACCCACCCACCTCGTCTATCCCCTACGATAAATGGGACATTGAAAATTAAACAATTACATCGAAACTTCACAAAAACATGTAAAATAATAATCAAGCAATTCACAAGACTTCTGTGTGGGATAATCTACCTACATGGTAACTATCTCAGCACTGTTATCTGTCATACCTTTTCATACTTATGTTTGGCTGTGATCTACACTTCCTGGAAACCAGAAGACACGAGATTCCAGTGATTGTATTCAGAACATGATGGACACAGCTTACAACTGGTGCCCAATCTTGACCAGAGAGGATCTGGCCAACATGACTGTCCACTATCAGAGTTAGTATCCACAGTGGAATGTTCACAGCATCCAGTACATGTAATCTGGAAATAATGTACAACAGAAATGATCAACATAACAAACTGTTGTAAGGAAACACTCGCCCGAAACTTTCTATTATCTTTGTTGTTGGGTCTTGAAAATTAACCAATAAGAAGAGGTAATATACTTTGATGGCATTTACAAGTATTTCAGAGAGGCAGATTAATTCATACAATGAAAAATCAATTAAATAACATGTATGTGTTATGAAAATTCAATTAAATAACATGTATGTGTTATGAAAAATCAATTAAATAACATGTATGTGTTATGAAAATTCAATTAAATAACATGTATGTGTTATGAAAATTCAATTAAATAACATGTATGTGTTATGAAAATTCAATTAAATAACATGCATGTGTTATGAAAAATCAAGTAAATAGCATGTATGTGTTCAATTCATGTACAACTATCAAATAGTTGCATGTACAACAATATTCTTCTGATAAAAATAATCACAATAAAGCAGTATAGTTGAAAAAATTCTGTTCATTAATTTCTGTTTCATGAGAAACCTTTACCTGTTTTTACCAATAACAAATTTGGCCAAGAAACAGGACAGAATTCCTAAGCCTCCAATGATGTCCAGCTTTGTCAGAGCTGAATGTATGAAAGGAATGAAATATGACATTGGTAGCCATGTTGTCTGTAAATGTTGCTGCAGGATGTGACAATGGATAAGACACAGTGTCAGGGCACACACAGTTGACACTGTAGTCATGACAACAGAAACAGGGATACCAGGGTTTCTGTGGAGAAAGGCCGTAACTTTGGCTCGGGGAGACACCTGGTAAAATAATAAAAAAGTTATTTCTATAACATGAAAGTTAATTTAGTTTGAAAGACAAAGATAATTATTTGGAATAATATACTGCAGACCAGTTTGGAAAGGTCAGCAGAAAGGTCAAAATCAAATTTAAATTGTCCTTATAACTGATTTTTTACTAAAATTCACTTCGACCAATATGCTCACAAAAACATGGGAACTGGAAGCTATAGCCCTTTTAAAAAAGTGGAAGTGTTTGGATAACATTGTGAGGAAGAGCAATACTGGTAGAGAAACAGAGCATGATAGACATATGACTGAAACAGAGCATGATAGACATATGACTGACCAATAGACTGTACAGACATGTCTTCCTATGATAGACATATGACTGACCAATATACTGACAGACATGTCTTCCTATGATGGACATATGACTGACCAATATACTGTGTCTTCCTAATTCATAGCGAGGTATAATTAATTATACACTGTAAGATGTAACAAGATTGTGTTTTTTGAACAGAATCTAAAACAGAAGAACAAAGATGATGAAGAAAAGACAGTTTGTTCATTTCTCAAAACCTTCATTTATGCTGTGTAAAATCAGTAGTTTTTCATAGCAAAACAATTGGAAGTTTGAGGACTGAACAGGACAAAACCTTGTCTTCCTTTATCATATGGATTTCCATGTTACATTCATAATCTGATAACAAAAATACATACTTTTTCCTCAAATGACTTGTCCGAGGACTTGGACATATTGGCAGCAGTGACTTGGTCCAGAACTGTTCTAAGGACATGATCTTGTTTATCCAGCTCCATGTTGACGGTGCCCTGACATACATCACACAATCGGTAAACATGCTCCAGGTGCTGTTCAAACGCTTCTACTTCCTCGTCAAATTTGTTCTGTTGAATCCCAAAAACAATCAAATATTCAAAAACAATAGCATAAGAAAAATAGTGACAGCTTGGATCAATTGTTGGACTATGAGTATCAAGCACACGACAGTGCAGTGTAAGGAAACTAGAAAAACCCAAATGGACAAACAGTCAATGTCATAATGTTTTGTACATCAAAGGGAATCGAATCTTACTCTTTCTTTGCAATCTGACCTGTACCTGGTACGAAAGTTAACCATTACTAGCCTTCAGAATCCAAAAGTAATGCTAATGAGCCAGCTGTACTACTGATAAATACTAGCTGCAATTTACCGCTTGGCTAGAGAGAATTATTTCATTAATTTTCATCTAAATGTAATCAATTGCTGATATGAAAAAACATGCCAGTGTATTGTCCCATGTTGTGATGTCATGCTTACAGGCGTGTGCTTGTGCTCGTAAGTAATGTTTAGTGGCATTGATGTCCTAGGGTGTGGTTGTCATTTGGTCAAATATGTAAGATTATGTGTTTTTTCATTGGTTAGCTCTATTGCCTATGTGTTTTGATTGGTTGGTTCTATAGGTCAGTTTTGTGCATTTCTTTGTGTCTTAGGCCGTTTTTGTCAGTACCCATTCTGGACTTACAGGTGACTGGCGTACCTTGTGAATGTAGGTGTTTTGCCATTAATTTTTATAATATTGAATATCTACATTCATTTTAATTGTTTTCACTGTTATTGCACTTTGGAAATGCTCTGATCAAATTTGTGTTTTAAGAAACTGTAATAAAGAAACTTTTATATTTGTTTGAATTTCAGACAAATTGTCAGAAGACTATTGATTAATATCAAAAGATTTATTTACGGAGCTGTGCCTAACATAGATATGAGAAAATGGTTTTTGAAATCCAAGTCAATTTGACCCCTTTTGGCTGTTCCCCTTAGGCCCCATGGAAGGTGGGGACTGTAAAATTCACAATTTTGGTTCATCTTAGGCCAGGGAAGATTTCTGCAAAATCTAATTGAAATTGCATCTGGAGATTTTGAAAAGAAGTTGAAAATGTTAAATGCAAGACGCTGGATGAAGGTGATTAGAATAGGCCACCGTGATACCTTGTCTCAGGTTTCGAGGTGACCTAAAAATTATATTTCTTTCGTGAAAACATCTCATTTCATAGCCTAAAAATATCAAAAACCCTATAAAATTAACTCGTTGCATTTTCTAGATATTTATATAACATGAAACTGTCATTTTCACATCTCTGCAGAAAGCTAACAAGCCATGGATGACTTTGTCATGTTCCAGATGTAGCATTATAAGAGAGACACAGCTGAAGGTGCTCTACACATACAGGATTTATTCTGTGTACAGTTTGAAACTAAAATCGGTAACAAAACTCCACAGTTTGGGGATTTCGATAGCTATGTATCTGGGTAGGATCATATCATTCATCAATATCTGTTTCAGCCTTGTTTAATACATTTTTTCATTTTTACATTTCCTGCCATATACTATCCTATCACCTACCTCATTAAATGGCACAAATGCAGCCAGCTGTCGAACCTTCAGGAGCTGGTTTTGATTACATTCATCACACAAAAGAGAGTCTTTGCTGATAAATTCCTCAGTCTTGCAGTTAACAGGGTAGTTCATACTCTCACTGTACTGAGCTGGAATGGGCTTGTTATAGTGGCCATCCTGAAATGTATCAAAAGATTTCAATTATTAACGTCAATTACATGTATAACAAAACATGTTCTATCTCTTGTATATATATTGTAAGATGGTGCTAGTTTTGAGAAATCGTAAAACAGCTGCTATCAAATAGATTTAAGAACAGACTCAAAACATCTAAAAGGAACAAACTTTGAGACTATATTCCAAGTGGTTAAGTTCATTTGACTCTTTTAAACAAGAGGCCCATGGGCCTTAACGGTCATCTGACAAAAAGCAAGCCAAACCTAGAAAGTGGGTTGAGGTCATTCATTTGAACAAACTTGGTAGCCTCTCCTCCAAGCATCTTAAAGGCCCAATATCAGCACTCATGGACTTTTGCTTGTTGAGAAGAAGTCGTTTGTATATTTTAACATATTTGACCCCTGTGACCTTGAAAGTGGGTTGAGGTCATTCATTTGAATAAACTTGGTAGCCTTTCCTCCCAGCATGCTACAGACCCAATATCGGCACTCATAGACTTTTGCTTATTGAGATGAAGTCCTTTGTATATTTTAACATATTTGACCCCTGTGACCTTGAAAGTGGGCCAAGGTCATTCATTTGAACAAACTTTGTAGGGCTCCATGCCAGCATGCTATGGGCCAAGTATTAGCCCCCTAGGCCTTCTAGTATTTGAGAAGAAGTTATTTAAAGATTTTGACATATTTGACCCCTGCTACCTTGAAAGTTGTTCAAGGTCATTCATTTAAATAAACTTGGTAGCCTTTCCTCCCAGCATGCTACAGACCCAATATCGGCACTCATAGACTTTTGCTTATTGAGATGAAGTCCTTTGTATATTTTAACATATTTGACCCCTGTGACCTTGAAAGTGGGCCAAGGTCATTATTTGAACAAACTTTGTAGGGCTCCATGCCAGCATGCTATGGGCCAAGTATTAGCCCCCTAGGCCTTCTAGTATTTGAGAAGAAGTTATTTAAAGATTTTGACATATTTGACCCCTGTGACCTTGAAAGTTGTTCAAGGTCATTCATTTAAACAAACTTGATAGCCCTTCATCCCAGCATGCCACAGGCACAATATCAGCAATCTGAGCCTTTTGGTTATTGAGAAGAAGTTGTTTAAAGATTTTAACATATTTGACCCCTGTGACCTTTAAAGTGGGTCAAGGTCATTCATTTGAACAAACTTGGTAGTCCTTCATCCCAGCATGCTACAGGCCTTATTTTAGTTGCCTGGGCCTTTTGATTACTGAGAAGAAGTCCTTTGAAGATTTAAAGACATTTGACCCCTGTGACCTTGAATGAAGGTCAAGGTCATTCATTTGAACAAACTTGGTAGGGTTTCATCAAAGCAAGCTACAGGCTAAATATTAGTTGCCTGGGCCCTCCAGTTATTGAGAAGAAGTCGTTTGAAGATTTTAAGACATTTGACCCCTGTGACCTTGAATGAAGGTCAAGGTCATTCTTTTTAACAAACTTGGTAGGGCTTCATCAAAGCAAGCTACAGGCCAAATATTAGTTGCCTGGGCCTTCCAATTATTGAGAAGAAGTCGTTTGAATGGAAAGTTTACGGACGGCGCACGGCGGACGACGACGGACGAAGCATGATGACTATAGGTCATCGGACCCTTCGGGTCAGATGACCTAAAAAACACAAACATAGAAATGGCAGTCTTCCATTCCATATTTAAAATGCTTTTCTGATATCACTAATGTAAAAGAAATCCAAACCTCACTAAATCCATTGTACTGTTCACAGCCAGGACAATCCCAACAATTCTTGTTTCCATATGGAACCACAGTAATCTTCTGACAAAACCAACACTCAACTTTTATAGTAAACTTTGGTCTGTAAAAGACAAAAATAAAAACATCTTAAAAATAAATGTCTATTAAGTTGCAATAACACTGTTAAATAACCATTTACAAATGAACAGTATGAATGTGTTTAATTAGTTTTACTATGTCTTGTAAAATTTCTTTCCTTTTTATCAACTATTTTTAAAACTGGTGTCGTCTCTAAAGAAAATCAGTATTCTAAAAGGAGTGTGCCAGTGGTGCCAGGAGCTGAAAGAACCATCAGCATTCATATGCACCAAACAACTGTCACTCAAAGAAATGTACCTCTACATGTGTTAAATTTTACTTCAGTTCTGTTACATAAACCCTTTACTTTGTATATAAATGATCACTTGTTTGTGGATTTGAATCAAAACACAATGATCTTATGTTGATCTCATAAAAGATCATCTATCAATCATAAGTTGATTGTGTAACAGAGAAGTTTTTCCAAAAGGATAAAATTTGTCTTTATTTCCGTGATTTAACTGCCACTTGGCACACACGAATTTCAATCTGAAATAAATTACCTCCCATAACCAGAAAAAGGTGTTTTCTTACCAAGTGACAATTGATTTTGTTTAGATTTTTTTTTTCAGTTCAAAAAAAGGAACTGCTATGAAAGGAGAAAAAAGTATCTTTGACTGAATATGTATCTTATATGTCATTATAGTGTAAAAAGAGCAGGTCTGTGTGGCTCGTGTAAAGTGTTATAGATGTTCTCTGTCATTCAGCTGATAAAGCACGCTTCTTCGGCTCAGTGGGCAGTTAGTTCAGCTATGTAGAAATCATGCTGGGGGTCTCAATGGGATTATGTATTTTCTATTGTTTTTTTAACATTGGCACCAAACAAAATCCCATGTGTTGTATTATCAAGAGTCTCCAGACAAAAGGTTGAGATTTAGGAAATCTAATGAAAACCATGGAGAGTAGTGTAAAAGCAGCAGGTCAGTGTGGCATGTTAAATATGGTCTGTCTCACCAGCTGACAGACCTTAATACTTTGGTTCAGTTGGTAAAGATCTGGATTATATAGCTGGAAAAATGGTTAATGGTTAGGGCATTCAGCAGGACTGTGTATTCCCCTTTTCTCCCTCCACCTGTTCTTTCACATTAGCATTAGCTTTTCTCAGTGTCGATCACAGGCATTTATTTTCTTTCAATTATTTAAAGTGTAAAAGAAAAACCTTTAACCATCTACCTGTGGCACCCTGTAATAAAAGTGATTGTTTTATTTATCATATTTATTCATGTTCATTCGTGTAAGCGATGGTTACTTTCATTTTGTCAAATGTATATATATAGTAGGCCCTGAATAGGCATACCATTGTTGGTTACATATTGTACATGTTCTGGACAATGACTGACCACTTGACCTTTGACATGCACTGTTCAATTCTATCTTCCTTTCCCGCCTAACCTTTCTTTCCTTTTTAACTTCTGGTTTTGGATTCAAACTGTAAAGACATGTTTTCTCATCTAACATTACTTAAATGTACGTCATGCCTACACTGGGTAAGTCTTGAATTTATATTGCAAATTGTTTATATCTATACCAATTATTCATAAAGATCAATATTTATCTATTGCAAAGAAGCAATTTGATTATTTCAGATTTAATTTATATTTTCACCTGATCAATCTGAATGAGAGCAATATCTTTTCGAGTATGATATATAATCCTCTATTAGGTTTTAGATCTTGGTCAAGGTCATTTAAGGTCCCATGTAAATTAAAGTAGTGTGCAGCATATTTGTAATAAACTACATATTGTTCGTTTTGTATCTGTAAGAAAATATGTATTGTCAGTAACATGAATGTGAATGTCACTGTGTGTTGCATGTAAATGTGAGTTTGTTTTGGGTGTGTTCTATGACAAGTTTTACCATGTAATGTAGTATGTTATTTGTATCTTTAGGGATTTCTAGAGCTATGCGTGTACTGTGAATAAAACAATTTTGGAATGACGTCGTCTGATCTGGTTGGTTGTTGAAGAAAACCCTTAATCCTGACTTTGCTACATACCTGACAGACTAAATTAATTATAATTGGACATGCTTGATCACAATTTCAATGAGAAAGCTAGTATCACAGCTTGGTATCCACTGCGATACCAATAAATCACAAAAGGAAAAACTGTTCCATATATAACAGTGCACTCCTGATTGCAGAAATAGTATGAGAGCGTGATGAAGTTCCAGTACACATTTGAAAAATCCAAGGATGATCGAATTGCCAAATCGGCGGGAAAATCATCATGCTGATGGAATTTACTAAATCAACCAAAGAAACAAACCTCAAAATCTTGTATAAAACAATACATATGGCGACAGACGAAGCTACTGCAAAAAGTAGAATGTAGACCATGCTGATCAATGTTGCAGTAGTATTTGTTTGCCTCACCGGCTCACATGGGGGATTCCGGAAATATCATCTTTTGAAGGGAGGTCACTCTAATTGTGTACATAAAAAATTACCAAAGTTACTTCAAACGATTGTTTACTCGAAAGTTTGAATTCCAACGGTTGGTCAAAAGATGAAAGAATTACTCCGTATTGTTCATATAATTTCGGCTGCTGCGGTCACAAAAATAAGCCTACTGGTCTTTGAACTAGCCGGCACAATATTGTTTTCATTTATTCCATCTGTTATACTTAGGAGGGGGTATCATTATAAACATGATTAACCCTGCTTTCCTGTCTTTAATATATATTATTGCTAAATATTCGATAGAATATTATCTAAACTTTATTTTCCTATATTACTATTCTCTTTACTTTCTTCTTTAAAGCAGAGACGTATGTCTGTTTAAAATCACAAACAGAATAATACACGTGATTATAGGTAATTATACATTTCACGCTTGACCAAATTTCGTTGCGTGATATTAAGCATAGTACAATATACGCGGTATAATAACACACTTATTACATATGTCAGATTCAATATCAGTTTACCAAACTCCGGACCTTCACTTATATAAATATTTTCTTTCGATGCGTTTTCTTCGGTTAAATATATACATTTCTTCTGCGCCGTACTTCGCGCCGTATAGATGATGCTGATTTGTAAGATCCTAGTGGCTTATGACAGTAAACTTATTTTCTAGGTCAGCCGATCTATAGTTAGACATATAATTGACCTAATGGTTACCGCGTTTGGACTGTGAACTCTTACAACCAACGTAATACAAAAAAGCACTGTGTGTATTAATATATTAGTTTAGACTTAACTGAGTCCTTACTCTGTTACCCTTTCCTTTCTTCTCTCTATTATATCAGGGACGTAGATAACTATTATCATATCCATTATACAACATTGACAATATCAGATGTTATGACACGCCTAAGGCTATCTATTTCTAGCACATTGCTATTTATAAAATTCCATAACATTATTTTTTTTAAATATAATTTGAAGCGTGGCATTGTGTTTCCGTCCGGACAATTATGTGGACGTGCGTCCTCAGACATAGTTCAGCGAAATGTTAACATGTCAGGTTAACAAAGAAAGAATAGGCCCAACTAATTGTTGAACTTTCGGCAGTCTGAATAGAATACATGGTCACTGCCATAAAATGTCGGCTGTATTTTGGCGAGGGTGAAGAAAGACAAAAGTAGCGTGTCTCTTTAACCTGGAGGAGAATCCAGCCGATGAGGGGACACGTGGTTTCTCCCCAGAGCAGTTTGCTGACAGTCTATGGTTTAATGGACCATCCTTCCTTCGCAATCACATCAGCCCTGATCTTGATGTCGAATATTCTTTGGTGGAGCCAGAATCGGACAAAGAAGTACGACCTGATGTTCACTCGTGGAAGACTAACATACGTACTACACTGGGAACATCTAGATTCAATCGTTTCTCCAGTTGGAACAGCCTTGTGCGTGCTATCCGTACTATACGAGTTCGGTTAAGGAGTCGTTTCAATATCCAGAATGATCTTACCAGACGCGAGGTTGAGCTTTTCGTCATCAAAGAGCTCCAGATGACCTATTTCAGTAAAGAAATTCAAGCGCTTCGTTCTTTCAAGTCTTTGCCTAAGGATAGCTCTGTGCTTTGCTTGAATCCTCACCTTGATGAGAAGGGACTGCTGCGGGTTGGTGGACGCATTAACCGAGTTGACTTTCATGAGACCGAGAAAAATCCCATCTTGATACCAGGTCGCAGTCATATTGCCAAGCTCCTTGTGCAACATCACCACTTGCAGGTACAACATCAAGGACGCCACATGACCGAAGGTGCAATTCGTAATGCTGGACTTTGGGTAACCGGAGCAAAACGTCTGATTGCTTTCACGATACATCACTGTGTGACATGTCGCAGACTACGAGGGAAGTTTTCCTCTCAGAAAATGTCGGATCTGCCTGTAGATCGCCTGACTCCTTCACCGCCATTCACACTGGTTGGTGTTGATGTATTCGGTCCTTGGAACATCATCACTCAACGTACAAGAGGCGGAAACGCAAGTTCGAAACGATGGGCAGTCCTCTTTACTTGTTTGTACAGCCGAGCAGTCCACATTGAGATCATCCCAGAGATGACGTCATCATCATTTATCAACGCCATGCGGAGGTTCATTGCCGTCCGAGGTGAAGTTTCGGAGTTCCGCTCAGATTGCGGTAGTAATTTTGTAGGAGCGGTCAATGAACTTTGAATTCACTCTATCAACGTGGGAGATCCTCAAGTGAAAACTTACCTGGACACCAACAACATGATCTGGAGATTTAATCCTCCCCATGCATCTCATTTCGGCGGAGTATGGGAGAGAATGATAGGAATAGCCCGACGCATTCTCGACGCGATGCTTCTTGACGTCAAACATGGACAGCTGACAGATGAAGTGCTAGCGACTTTCATGGCCGAGGTTGCTGCTATAATGAATTCTAGACCTTTGGTTGCTGTTTCTTCGGATTGCGAGATGCCTCATTTGCTGTCGCCAGGAAAGTTACTAACTCAGAAGACCAGTGACGACATAATCGTCCCGCAGGACTTAAGTATCAAGGATATGTACCGCTCAGTGGCGAATGGTCCAGGTCATGGCGAACACCTTTTGGAAACGCTGGAAATCGGAATTTCTGTTTGCTCGACAAGCTCGTTCTAAGTGGAACTTAGAGACTGTTAATCATAAAGTAGGTGATGTTGTGTTTCTCCGGGACAAGATATGTCCCCGTCTTTCGTGGCCGACTGGTCTTGTTACCAAAATCTTTCCGAGTGATGACGGACTAGTGCGTAAACTAGAGATCCGGGTTGTGAAAGACGGAAAACCTAGTGTTTTCATTCGACCCATTTCGGAAGTGATTCCGCTGCTTGATTCCTGTGAATAACTTTTTCGTGTATTAGTGCCAAGTGTGATGCGAACTGTTGTGACATTTAGATGCAGAGACTGTGCAATGTCAACTTATGAACTCAGCTATATTGATTTATGTGTTTTCAGTGTTTAGTTGCTGTTGACTCGATTCGTATTTCGATCTAAGTTATAGATCTTGTGAAACTTTTCATGAACTTGAGTGATTAGAAATCAGACGGGGAGTGTCATGTTAGTGTAGCAGGGTTATCCCCCTTCTCGGAACTCCTGTCTATATTTGGTAGCGGGGATTTCCATTATCTGTGTCGTATGCTGAACGTTTCAAGATGTCGGACGTGTTTACGTCGCTGAGCGATTCACACAGTACAATTCTAGGAATTTTACCGTCTCTATTCCCCCAAAGAGTGAGTTTATTGTCCCATACAAGTTGAAGAATTATGTTCTTCCAATTGTTGTAAAATAGTCACTGCCTTTGATACGCTACACAAGTTGGAACTTATTACCAATTTGCCAATTTTTCCACTGTCCCATTTCGCCCCATAATGTTTTCATCCTGAATCGACCCACTATTTGCTCCCATCTCGATTTCGTGTTCTTTCTATGTTTTTGCTAAATATGAGCCGTAGTAGATTTTTCCCAATTACTCGTGTTGTGTGCCCAAATTTTGGTAAGTGACTTATGAGTGTTCATTTTGTTCTTTCAGTTTTTCACTACATACATGCTCACATCCGTAGTCTGATCTAGATACATACATCGATCAACATGTTGTACTTCGTTTGACTTCTGCGTGTTAGCGACATACTTGAAGTATTGCTTTTTCTGGAATAAAATCGAAGCCAACACTTCTACATGCTTCAAGCGTTTTTCATTTTCATCGATCACAGGCTTGATAGTGAAAAATCTAGTCGGTCTAGAGACGCAAAATGATAAATCTACTCAGTCAAGAGACACAAAGTGAAATACCATCTCGGTCCAGAGGACGCAATGTAGAACATTTATAAGGTCAGCTCGACCCAGAGAACTATAGAGTTTCATCATGTCTTTTTCGGACCAACGGGACGAAATTAACCAGGACGATCCTGAACAAATAGATTCAACATCCAAACGGCAACATACTCTGACAGAAAGAGGCCAGTCATTTTTCAGGGAAAGCTTGGATCATAATTTGAATAAACTGACCAAAATTGCTAGGGAAATTGACAGTATTATTGAATGTGTGGTCCCAACATCCCATGATGCCATTGCTGATTTACACTCACGCTTAACCGAAACATATAATCGCTACGATAAACTTTGTGTTGAATTGTTGAACTTCCTGGTCAAGTACAATACCCCTGAAAGTGCCAACGAACAGGCAAGCCTTGCATCTCTGAAAGAGGTCTACGTGAATAAAGTTTCGAAATTCAAAAAACAGCTTGAATACACGACAGCTGAACTTTGTGACCAACATTCATCTGAGAAACTAACACCATCCCTTGTAAGTTCTAGAAGGTCATCTAAGTCAAGTTCTAAAAGATCTTCAGCATCGACGGTATTAGGTCGCCAACGAGCCAAACTGGATGGGGCTAAAGCTAGATTACGTTTCGCGCAGAAAGAAGCTGCTATGAAGCAAGAAGCTGCTCTACTCTCCATCAAGATGGAACTACTGGAAGTAGAAAAGGAGGCTGCAGTCGCGAGTGCAGAGTATGCCGGTATGAAGGAAGAGTTGTATGATGACCGAAAAAGTAGCTCGGATAACGTCAACAGAAGCGACAGTATGAATCGGTATTTTGATTCCATGAATCCAGACACTACAGGTAATATACAGGTCAATACCCAACCTGACCATTCGATCCACACTGCTCGTCCACATCCCGCGGATATTGGTAAACCTATCGTGTCGACAATGAATGTACCGACAGCGATACAGCAACCTAGTCATTCCATCTCATCCCCTATTCCTACTGCATTTGACCAGAACAAAGCCCCTATGGGTGAGGAACATGTACATCAAACTGTTGAGTTCGAACCTGGTGTTCAATATTCTAGTAACACGATAAATCCTGCACCTATCCCTCAGACTGTGGTTACTACTGCCCCGTGTTCTGTTATGGTAACTAATCCTACCAGCTTGATATCGAGTTTATTACGTACCAGCATGCCTGCTGCTCCATTACCCAGTTGTAGCACTCAAGTACCTCCTCAGGTCACTCACATACCCCCCGATGTATCCAGTGCACTTAATGTTCATGGGAGAGATCCAATTGCCAACGAAATGAATGCATTTTCCAATTATCTGATGAAGCGTGAAATGCTACCTCTGCGGCTGATAGAATTCGACGATAAGCCCGAGACGTATCAATCCTGGAAGATCAGTTTCGACATCCTCAAGGCAGAACTGAGAACAAATCCTAGGGAGGAACTAGATTTGCTGTTGAAATATCTGGGACCCAAATCTAAACAGCATGCGATTAGTATAAGGTCTGCGAATGCCAATTGTCCTACACGTGCCGTTGAGATGGTTTGGAAACGTTTAGATGAGCGATATGGAAGTCCTGTGCTTCTAGAGACATCCTTGAAGGCCCGCATAGATGCATTCCCCCAACTGACACCCAAAGACAATGCTCGATTGTATGATTTGGCTGATCTACTTTCCGAAATACTGTCCAGGATGAAGGATCCCGTGTACAGTCGTTCACTGAGCTTTTTCGATTCATCTACAGGTATGCGACCTATCATATCTAAGCTCCCCTTCAATCTACAGGAGAAGTGGACTTCTCGTGCCTCGAGCTACAACGCGTCTAATCAAGTGACTTATCCGCCGTTCGCGTTCTTGGTAGAATTTATCAATGAGATGAGTCGCGTACGGAACGACCCCGGGTTTACTTATCAACAAACCAGTCAACGTACCTCTAGCGCTCCTAACCGCAACAACGTTAACTCCACGGATGTACAAAAACGAGAGCCGCCATACCGCAAAGACAATGTACGAGTCAAGAAGACTGCCATTGACGCGAATGTTGAGTCTAACCATGACTATAATAACCGTTGTATGCTGCACGATGCAAGACACAACCTCAACCAGTGCAAATCCTTCCAGAAGTTAACCCTTAACGAGAGGAGAAAACTGTTGAAGGATTACGGATTTTGCTTCAAGTGTTGTTTGTCGACGGACCACAATTACAGAACTTGCGAAGCCATAGTGAAGTGCGACACTTGTGGGAACACTTATCACGCCACTGCAATGCACATAGATGCCAATTCTTCCCAACATAAGGCAACTATTCAAGATAGGAAATCTTCGGCCCCTGGACAAAACCATGGCGGGGAGGAATCCTTGGTAACCAAATGTACATCTGTATGTGGTCAAAACTTCAATGGGCGTTCATGTGCGAAAGCGTGTCTGGTAAACGTATATCCAGTGGGGAAGCCTCATATTCGTATCCGATTGTATGCTCTACTCGACGATCAGAGTACCTCAACTTTAGCGAGAGCGGAGTTCTTCGATAGGATGAACATACCCATGTCGACAATGACAACTTATACTCTCACCTCTTGCGCAGGACAGACAACTATGAGTGGTAGGCAAGCGAAGGGATTTGTCATTGAGTCAGCTGATGGTACTTCTAAACTGGATCTGCCAATTATCACAGAATGTAGCGCGATCCCAGATGAGAGAAGCGAGATTCCTACGCCAGAAATTACTCGATACCACAATCATCTTAGAGATGTTCCGATTCCTCCTTACGATCCGGATGCCCCCATCCTTCTGCTGATTGGTCGAGACCTGCCAGAGGCGCATCACACAGAAGATCAACGTACAGGTCCTAAAGGTACACCGTTTGCTCAGAAGCTTGCACTTGGATGGGTCCTTGTTGGTAATGTGTGCCTGGGTAACGTTCATCCTCCAGATAGGCTGAGTGTTTTGAAGACTTCCGTCACCAAAGATGGCCGAGTGAGTACCTTCACAGAATGCGACCTCTCCTTGAAAATGGATGACAGCAATCTTTTCGTTCGGGATTGTAATGATAATAACATTGGACCATCTATCGAGGACGAACAATTCATACATCTCATGGATAAAGAGTTCAAGAAAACTTCTTCAGGCAATTGGACAGCTCCTCTTCCTTTCAGGGAACCTAGGCCTGTACTTCCCAACAACAGACAAGTGGCATTGAAACGAGCACTCATGTTACAATCCAGTCTTCGGAAAAACCCTGTAAAACGCGAGCATTTCGTCAAGTTCATGGAACGAATCCTGACTTCCGGTCATGCAGAGGTCGTACCACCAGTAGCAGATGACTCTGAAGTATGGTATCTCCCTCTGTTCGGAGTCTACCACCCGAAGAAAGTTGACCAGATACGTGTTG